TATATAAATTATGGTTTATATTATTAACTAAATTTAGGCCAAATTAAACTAAATATTCAAGGTTAACTACATTTTACAAAAACACTTGAAGATAACTTGATCGGAAACTTCATTGACATTGTAAACCAAAAAATGAAGATGAAGGAATATATTCACAATTACTATTTCACTAATAATAAAATACCCTTGAATAAACGTGGATTACGTTTCAAGGTCAATGTATATAGAATAGTTAGTGGTTAAGAACGTGTTGCTGAAAATTACTCTACAAAAAATGTTGAAGTGAGATAGATCATTAGTTTGTTTATTCAAGGTCTTTTATTATTGAAATATAGGTACTATAATACTAAATGGAGCTGGGCTTTTTGTAATGAAGGTAATAGTATGTCATAAATCATTTGATCAGTTTGTTTATAATTATGCTAAAAAACCATAAAACCACTGAGATTATTCAATAAAGTTCTGAGGCAAAATCAGTTGACTAATTCAGGAAAAAGATGATTAATTAAATAATACTTCAAACATAACCTCATTTTTGAATGAGAAATTGTCGAAGTAAAAAACGTTTTAGATACCTAAATGGTCTTCTTCAAATGAAGCACACTGACTTCATTTAAGAGATGAAATTAAGTTTATCTCCTACAATGTCAATCAAATGAACTAGATCACTATGTGAAGTATTATTGATAAATTTTGTAAGATGGGGCTTAGATTCGATTGTTGTGAAATGCGGGAGCACCTTAAGATATGTAGCTTCCACTTCATAAGCTTGATAAAAGAATATAGCAGGGTAATTGGAAAGAAACACATGTGCAATTAAAGAGAGAACGAATTGAGCGAAGAAATTTCTTTTCAATTAATTTTTTCATCATGGCTCGACAATAATTGAAAAGAAATTTCTTCGCTCAATTCGTTCCTTCTTTATTTACCAAATGACAAAATGGGAATTTTCACTACATGTGCAATTATTTTATTTGGGATTCAATATTGAAAGAAGAGCAGGAAATGTATTCCTATTATGCTTGGTAAAAACTTTGCATCACAAGGAGTAGGCGTATTTCTATGATTTCGCTTTTCTATCATATCAATTTTACTGTATGATTGCGGTAAAGTCCTATTATTATTAATCCGAGACAATTTAGGCTCTGAATATAGGCGACTTATACAAACTATTCTTAATTAAAACGATATTTAACATGCCCTCTTGTATTTCAAGGGATACATAAAAGTCAGCCGATTGATTCAGACAGTATCAGAAGTATGAGATAATCCCATTAACTCCCAGTCACTATTTGTGCTATCAAGTACTTTCCACGCTTTAGATTCAAATGTCATCTATCAAAAAATCAAGTGTGTAGAATGGAAATGCGTTTTACTTCAGCTTCTATTTTATCAAAGTTAACATCATTAACCTTCACTTCTCAATAAACTGATGAGTAAAGCTCAAAAACGAACTAAGAAATTTTTATATTTAGGAAGCATTGTGAAAGAGAGGCAAGACTCTAATTTATGGACGAGACAATCAGAGAGGCTTTTAGAGATTTCAAGGTTACGGCATCAACTTCAGTGCTTAATGATAACGTACTATCGGTTCACAGAGAATTTTGTACAAAACGTGATAATTGAACGGCGATAACAAATAAAACGGCGGGACTATAATTTGTGGACGAATCAATCAGGTATAAGGTGATAGATCTCGGATTTTAACGCGAAATCCTTCCATCCATTTGCCTAAATAGATTTCTAGCATCATAGCTGATGTCAGTTCGTGATGAAAACCCCATACATAATTCCTAACTAAGGCAAATTACGACAATTGTTGCGAACTGGATAATAAAAGCATCAGTAACACTGACTGCAGTCAGGTACAACAATATATATGGATGTTTGGAGAGCGTATGGACGCCTACATAGGCTTAGTTATGTGCATCGTGTCGTTATCCACTAGTAGCACTTTGTGCATTCAACAACCGGAGTGCACATAAACAATATTGAAGCTATGTGGTCGAGGCTGAAAGAGTTTTTGAGACTTTATCATAGCTACAGAGACCGACTATTCTGTAGCCGTATGGATGATTTCCCCTACTGCATGCATTACGATTTTAGAACCTGTGAACCTCTTTCTAACCTTGACAAGTTTTTGAACCATGTATAAGGAATGTATCCACTTTATTTCCTTGGTTTTGTATACCATATTTTTACTGTGTACTGACAGTTTGCTGATTGGCTAATGTTTCTCAATGTCGCTTAAGATTCGTTCAAAGGTCGTCCGTAAATCAGTTTCTCCGAAAAAGGTATATATATCTACTTCCGACTTCGTTATCAAAAGTTTTAAAATATTTAGAACGTCAATAAACACTTCTTTCTGTAGGAACTCAGGTTTCCATAAGATGTGGGTATATTTTGAAATCAAAATATTTTGTGAACCACCGTATACCCGGAAAACCATGATATATATTGAAAATTCTAGACTGTATTTGACTTAATCACTTCCGTTGTTTTTCAAAGGAATTAATGCCTAACACTAACTCCCAAACGTTGGATAAATAATTTGATATAAGATTTAATGTAAAGCTTGAACATTAATACTAATGAGGTTAGATTTTTCCCGTTTCTAAATATCATATTATTGTCATGCATCCTATGTTTTCATTTAGGATTGTATAAAATTATTCTACTCGATGTGTTTACTTTTGATTGCAAATTCATTGTTGTAAAATCTAGGCACAAGTTAATAGGGTATATTAATTCATGCTTACATCTCATCAAACTTCTTACACTATATATATATATATATATCGTTCTAATATGGAACTCTTCAGACGTTTTGCAACCTTATTCCCACAAATAATCGAGCCTAAAAAATTTGTGTTTCGAATAGGCCACCCTAACTCTGGATGGTTGATCGCGTATGCAGTACTTCATATATTTAAATTCAATAAATGCACAATATCCGCAGCCTAAAAGTCCAAGTTTTGATTCGCGCTAAAATCGTGGTTGCACACTGTTGTATATTCCCATAATAAACCAAAATGTCTATCCAGAGATTCCTAGTTCTCTCTGAATTTTCGATTGAGCTCTGTGCGTGATGTGATTCACAAAATTTAAGTCTTTGCAAACGACTCAAAAGTTAGATTGATAACTTGTTCTGTTTTAATAATTTTTAGCCAACATTCTGATTTATCCGTATTTTTTAAAATGTTGAAGTGGGCAGTTAACTAGTTTGTGCAAGAAAAAAAACTTTGTAGCGAAACCTTCATCACTGTTCTTACTACCTATTAACTTCGTGTAAAACTACATATCCAGCGAGGAAAATTGCACTCTCTATTACACAAACAAGCATTCAGTTGAATGCTTTTTAGACGCTTTACTGTAGAATAAAAAAATGAAAGATTCTAACAAACTTTATAGTTTAGTGAGTCAAAATTACGCCCATCATGCCTTATGGAGGAGCATAAGTCGCTCACTATCACTCTCCATACAAACTTATCCTGGAAATCCTTTTCAGTTATTTACAGTTTTTATTCCCGACTTATTGTGTTTTTTGGCCTTTCACTTATTCGTTTACCTTCAGCATTCCAAGTTAAGGCCTGCCTCGTGATGCATTTTGATGATTTCCATAATTCATTTCCTATCCTATCTTTTCCTAATTTCCTTCTCAGATGGATGCTGTTTTGTTCTATTTCACAGTAGGCTGTTACTGATGTTATCGGGTCAACAGACATTGAATATCTTACGCAGACGATTGTTTATAAACACTTGTACTTTTTTGATGATAGTTGTAGTAGTTCTCGAAGTTTCAGTTCCGTACAGTAGAACTGTCTTGTTGTCACTTATTTTGGCTATAGGAACCCTAGAATTTGTGTAGCTTATATATATATATATATATATATATATATATATATATATATATAGCCTACCGTGTTGAAATGTCCATCCATTATTTCACTTGCAACTTACCTACAATTCAATATCTAGTTTAATCATGACTAAATAAGAAAGATTAGTTCAGCGAAGAGATATCTTTTCGGCGAATTCATTTTTAAAGCTGTACAATCGCAAATATATAATAATACTGATGATAAAATTTCTGTTAGAAATGATGACAGTGAGATTAAATATACAAAAGTATTAAAAAGATTTTTTAAAACAATTTACCTGCTCATCTGGAGCTAGGTATATAGGTCGTTTGATGCGTACTTTATCCAAAAGAATTCAAGAACATTATCCGGCGTGGCTCAAAAGAAGAGGCAATGGCTCAATGAGCATTCCAATAATCGAACACCTTGTGAACACAGATCACTCAATCAAGACAGACTCTGCATTCAAAGTCATCTACAAGGTAAGTAGAAGTCTTCCAAAGACAATAAAACTGCATCTTCTTTCCATTGCTCAAGCATTAGCCATACATCTGGATAAACCAGATTGATACAACTTCTTCTTCTACCATGGTCTTAATGTCTTATAATTTTTCTTTTCTTATTTTCTCTTTCTTTATACTCTTCTTCCTTTACAGCCATCTGCTTCACCTTCCATTTCGGTTTCTACGATACTCCTGATTACATTCAATCTTAATTTCAACATTTTATCTTATCATGCTGAGCCGTTCTTTCCTAATGATAATTTACCTATTTATCATTTGATGAATACTTAAACCATTAACAATCACAAATGAATATTAGGTTTTCCTTGTTTAAAAATTGTTTTAATAACTTTGTTTGTTTTACCTCACTGTCACCATATCTAAGAAAAATTTTATTATCAGTATTATTATCATCCTGTAAAAATAAGTATTTTTAATTGTGATTGTACAACTTTGAAAATGAATTTACCGAAAACAGAATTATTCTTTGAACTAATCATACTTATTCAATATCATAATGGATCTATTCCGTTGACTAATCATAAATTAATCAAAACCATCTCAATTAATTGACTTTAAAGAAGAAATAAGAATAAGAATGTGAATAGATACTCATTGTAACAAACATTAAATGACATATTGATATTCATTTACATTTTTTTTAAAAATATTTATTTGTATATAATCAGCTTTATTCACAATAATATCTAGACAATCAGTATTTATGAAGGAAATAACAATAATTGGAAATTATATGTATATCCTGCATTTTTATGAATGTAATATGGAAAATCATTTCTTCTAAAGAGTGATTCTATATGAAATAGTTTAAATATCATTTCAAATACATTACTATGATCTTTAAAATGTGTTAAATGAATGTGTAATAAGAAAGTGAATTATTCAATTTATATATATTTCATATCATTAAGAATATTCTTTATAAACATTAAAATATTACAAACTTATTATTTTATTAATTTTAAACTGTATCACTATGTGTATCACCACTTTCATATGCCCAATTTGTGTCTTGATTATCTCGATTTATATGCGTTGATTGAGGCCATGGTTGTTCAGCAATAAAATTTACAGAATGTAATAGATTTGTTGATTTATCCATTTTTATTATATTTTGATTACAAATAATATTTTTTGGATTAATTATTGTATCACAATAATCATTTGAATTCATTTCAATTTCTTTAGTACTTGGAATTTTATTCATTGAATATTTTGTTTGTAATTTTTGATTATTTTTATTGAATAATTGTTGAAATGTTGACCCGGATATATTACCTATATTTTGCATTATATCTATTGGTACCGGGAAGAATATAGTTGATTTCTTTTCAGCTGATATTGCACATAATGTTTGTAAATATCTTAATTGGAATGCCATTGGTGAAGTAGATATAACTTTTGCAGCTTCTTTTAATGATCTAGCTGCTTCTTGTTCTCCTTTAGCAGCAATCACCTAAAAATGTGTTAAATAAAGTTATGAAAATTAAAATTAACTAAGCTTTAACTGACTCATGATCTTAACCATTGAAATTATTACAATCTCCACAAAAAACCCATCTGATATTAATCAACATATGCTCACTAGTGACTAGCTTCACGTGGTATATCCTGGAGTTCTAGTGAGAAGTAGTGATTAGTGGAGTTCAATCAGGTCTGTTGTGATATAGTAACTCACTGAAGACAATGGTGGATATGTCGCTCAATTTCGTGGATTAGTTGAAGTTAGACATTAACACCGTTGGATGCCGGCTCAGTGGTCTAGTGGTTAAGTGCTCGGGCGCGAAACCAGTAGATCCTGGGTTCGAGTTTCATAGGGGGCAGGGTCGTGGATGCGCACTCCCATAATAGGACGAAACGGCCGTCCAGTGCTTCCAGGTTTTCCATGGTGGTCTAGCTTCAACTGACTCATGATCTTGACCATTGAAATTAAGTAACTTATTCTTTAAATAGGCAATTTCATCAATATTGATGAAAGACATCAATTCCCTGTATATTTAATTCATTCTTGACTTGAATTCAGTCAACAATATGGAATTTGTCTTCAGTCATTCTCTATACAGTGATTAAGTATTCTCCGAAATGAAAATTGGTCTCAAGAATCTTTTATTGTATTTCAGGATACATTACATCCTCCTGAACGTATATGTTTTAACTAGTCTAGATTGTGGAGATTTTCAAACTTTTAATTTACGTTACGATTCGATATGAACCAGTCAATTATCATAATCCTGAAAGCCAACTCAGAGAAAGTCAAGTCCTTGCAATGAAACCTATAGGTTCTGGATTAATGAACGAAAACAGTCGTAGAATCCTATACTAGGACAAAATAACTGGTTACCATTTCCTGATTTCCAGCGATTGTTTGAAAGTCCATATTGTAAACTTAAAAACCGTTCACTTTCATTTGCAAGGGATTGAGTTGTCTTCCACTTTGCTCAACCAAAAGAAGGAAGTAAACAATGACAAATTTAAGGTCAATAAGAACCAATCAACATCGAGGTGCACAGAACAAGCTGTGAAACACATGGAGAAATTCTAACACTTCAGTTCTACCTGAAGTTTGTGCTGATGATGTCGTTCAGAAGAACGATGAAAGCTCCACGACCAAACCATCCAGCTCAGAGAACAAAACTCCACCAAAATCATCCACCTGAGCTACAAATCTTCTCCACCATCTCAAAAAACCTAACTCTAATTTCTTATTTTAATCGACGGCTCAAGCTTCTATTACTATTAAAATTTCGTAATCACTTTTAGAATCTATTAAGTTGGTTCACAAGTATAGTGTCGTCAGTTTGTGTTCCTGTTCAGTGTGCCATATATGATTTTCTTTATCCACTGAACACTAATGGTAAACGTGAAATTAAAGAAATAACACGAATATCAGGTGGAAATCAGTTTTTTTACTGAGTACTATTTAATATCTTGCTCGTTAGAAATAGGGAATTTAAAAAAGTAAGGTTTACATTCAAAATATACTCATAAAATTATAAAATCCAATCAAATTCCTCGTATCAATTTCAGCTCAAATAAACTAAACCAATGCACCAGATAGCATATAAGTCAACGCATCTTACTTTATGATATATTTTTTAATTCTAAAGATAATAAAACCTTGTTTACCTCCCACAAAATCTATACAGATACCCAATTTCAATTCCACTATTTTATATTGCTTATACATACATTTCTCATACCCACCTTCTGACGCACAAATTAATACAGTGACAGGTCATACAAATTCATCTCAGCCAAGGACAATCTGACTTCAACATATTCAAACCTAATAAACTTTTCTATTCTATAAATAATTATCATCCTTTACTCAAAGCTTATCTATAAATAAAGATCTTCTTAAAAGAATAGTACATTAGTCTGATCGTGTATAATACAAGTACGTACATATAGCTACGTAACGTTGTCCTCATATAAATTATAGTTATTTCTTATGTTAAGTGAAAATAAAATTGCCATATGTAGTATAGAAAACTTTTGAAAACAGATAAACAATAGAGTATCAATTCGATAAATTTGTACAAAAGTAAGCTCAGAATTGAGTAGAGTGGTGTGATTCATCAGTTTGCTTGTAATGATGTTCGCTTACTTCATGCCATTCAGAAAAAATGCTAGTGGATTAGTTCGCATATGTTACGTCATTCCCATATACATATATATAAAGACTAGAATAATCATAACTTCTTCTCCTTAAAAATATTTGACAAACGATTGAATTTTTTCCTAAATCAATTATACTTAGCTGTTTTCATTAAGAGCACTGTTTTCAATTAATACAATTTCAGATGTATTGCAAAGATTCCTAGTAGCATTCTCAACAATATGTTTGTTGAATATGCGTTTATTCCTTTCTACAATCAAAGTTAAAGCAACAAATTATATAATAAATATTAAATAAAAACAATGAACAGTGATAAACGTAATCAGTTGTTTGACTCAGTCTATTCACCATAATGAAAGTTAAACAAAAAATTTGATTTTTAATTAAATTAAAAATGACCTAGAAGCTATTTTTTTCAGAATCAATATTTGAAATGTGTTAACTTTAAACAAACTGATTTCTAAAGTAAATTTGAATGCACAACTCAAAAATTAATTTAAAATGAAAAATATCTCAAGTTATTTAAGGTCAGTAAACAAGCGTAAGAATTTTTCCACAGAAGCTAGGAGTCGTATTCGCAGTTTCTTATCTGATTTTAAATTCACTAGTCGTATATTTGGCAAGACTCTAATTTATGGACGAGCCAATCAGAGAGGCTTTTAGAGCACTTTGTGCACTCAACAACCGGAGTGCACATAAACAATATTGAAGCTATGTGGTCGAGGCTGAAAGGGTTTTTGAGACTTTATCATAGCTACAGAGACCGACTATTCTGTAGCCGTATGGATGACTTCCTCTACTGCATGCATTACGATTTTAGAACCTGTGAACCTCTTTCTAACCTTGACAAGTTTTTGAACCACGTACAAGAAATGTATCCACTTTATTTCCTTGATTTTGTATACCATATTTTTACTCTGTACTGACAGTTTGCTGACTGGCTAATGTTTCTCAATGTCGCTTAAGATTCGTTCAAAGGTCGTCGATAAATTAGAGTCTCGCCGTATATATGTTGGGATTTGGAAACTAGTCAGCAAGTCAGCATCACTAATAGTCAGAGGATCAAAGTTAAGGCATGCTTAGTATATCAGAATGATAAAGTAATTCCTGATTCTGTCCAAATGTTTTTCACTTATATACAATGCCTTGTAAATATTTTAAGATGAATGTTTTTCGTGGTAATTCTTAGTACCCAAAATACGTCAATGATCTCATCATCGCGTCACAAAAAATCGTGTTTCTCAACAAAACCAAGTAATGTAAAGTAAATAATAGCTCACTTTAGCACGAGCTTCACGAGCAGCTTCAGCTTCTGCTGCCATTGCACGTTGTAGTTGGATAGGAAGGCGGACATCTTTGATTTCAATTCTTTCAACCTAGAAATTGTTTAAAAGATAAAATAGAACATAATAAATTAGCTTGTTAGAATAAAATTAAAATTTTTGTACCGTAAGAACAGCATATATATGTGAAACTAAACCAAATGAGTCATGACTCGACTTATTGACATGTATACTTAAATTTCCACTGTTTACCGAGAAGAAAACTCTGAATAAAATCACTATTTAATTTGGAAAAATTCTAGTCATCGTGATAGTTCCAAATCAAATTATTTATATGTAATTAGTTTACATTTTTAATATCGTTCTATGTTCAAGATAAAGTCACTTTAAACAATATGACACAAAAATTGTAATAAGGTTCTTTACGATTTAAAAAAACTCATATATAGAAGTCATGACGAATTGGTATATACAGTCAGTCACATCATGATCATCGAATTATTGTTACGACGACTTTGTAACGACTTAGCATAATAAACTGATTGCCACTAGATATTTTTATTTCGTAGCATTTATACTAAAATATGAAGTTCAGTGAAAAGTGGTTTTATGATTGAATTTTATTTACAAATATAGTTACGTGACTGAATGGAACCAAAATACAATTAAAAGTCTTTTCATTGGTTTCAAACTTAATACACAACTAAACTAAATATGTTTCAAATGAGTATATATATAATGGAACTTGTGTACGTTGCGAAAAAATGGGGTGAATATCTCTTTAGAATGCTTCCTAGAGTTCTTTCTCTTGATACATCCCATCTGTCTATATCAACAGGTAATCATGGGGCTAGACAAAAATTTAGCATTTCCAATTAATCCAACGTCACTTTTACTCACATGAATTGGAGGATATTTATATCTAGTACATATTACAGTACTCTAATCCAAGATCAAAATCTTCGGATGCTATAAGACTCAGATATATATACAATGAATATCATAGTTTTACAATATTACAAATTTTCATTATCAACCATCTGGTAAAAATTTCTGAACAAAGCATTTCATAGATTTAAGAAGCATGACATTAAAATTGATTTCAATTCAGTATTCTTTGTAATGTAACACGATATTTTTCATATGATCATCTAGCTAATAGAGACAAACTAATTATATATTAGTTTCATGACCAGAATTAAAGATTATGCATTTTGCGTTTCACTCATTATTAACTCTTTGACAGTATAAGCTACTTATTTCGAAAATAATCAAAGTTTATAAAGCGAGATCTACTTTACTTATTAATAATAATAAAAGTGTAAAGAAAGCTGTGATCAAGATTTTGAAACTGTCTATTATTGTGCTCATCGTTTCATCTTACTAGTAATAATACATAACAGAAAAATAAAAGATTAGAGTCAAACAAGTTGATTGTATCTTTTTTGAAATTATAACTAAAGAGTACATCTAGCTGATAAGTCTCAAGTAGGTCGAAACGCGCTTCCTGGATTCCACTGCTAGCCATTTTCCACCTTTGTATATGAAGTGTTCTTGTTTCAAATAGAAATGTACTATTCAAAAACGAGTTATATAACTCAGTAAATTACGTATACAATTTGATAAAAATTGAATGATTAGAATGTCTTATTTAAATAGAAACCTTCTTGTTTTCAATGTCTAAATAATACTCTTTAAAATAATGTCAATTAATTTAATCAATCCTAATTTTGTGGGCGAAATTACATCAAAATCACATTGTGTCAGCTAAACTACCTTTAAACATGAAAACAAACAAACAATTCTATTTCATTATATAAATTAATGTAGTTCTCTATTCATTCTATTTCATTCTCTGTATTGATTATCTTTATTCAATACTTTCTCTATCTAAAAAAAGATAATCAATAACTGTCCATAATTTTATATAAGCAAATTAAAATGTCATTATGTCTACTGTGACTAAAGTATTACTTATTCGATAGAGAATATAAATTAAGGTCATATGGCTTGGTGATGGTGACCTATTGAAAGTAAGTTTTTTTTTTCTAAGTATAAATTTGATAAATTCTAAAAAACATAATTTATTTCTACATAAGTAATTGCGGAAACTAAATTTTGATTTTGATTCACATATTATTCTTATTGTTCCGTTGTACAATTTAAACTTGGATTGCTTTTAATTTGGTTATTTATTCTCTGAAGAAGTGGCTTACACTAAGTCACGAAACGTCAGAAAATCTAATTTTTCTACTCATTAGAATATTAGAAATATACTATTTATTTATTGCGGAAACTTAATCTTACTTAATAGATGAGATATATAATTAATATAATATTATCATAAATGTATAACTAACATTTAGTTCAATGAAATGTTCTAACTAAGTTATTAATGAATTAGTAAAATAATAACAAATAAATACGGGATTAATATTCAAAATGATAAAAAATTTCAAACTTCTAACAATTTATATATATCTCAATCACTTATACAAATATTCATCATGTTTAGAACGAATAATTTGACAGAATTTGGGCGCCGAGTAGAGAGAAGACATTTTTATATGATGATTTTGATGTTGTTTATTATCCTGAAGAAGTTCAGACGAGTTAACTGGACGAAACATTGAAATTACTTTAAATTTCAACAGCTGAAATCATTTCAAATATAATTCTTACATAAAAATATCTAAATCACTGTTGATAATCTACATTACATTTAAGATTAAACAATAATTCAATAATAAATAACAAATTTCGTCTAAATTTGATCGAATAATTTCACAGTATTTGGGCTCCGAGTTGATGCGCAACATTAAAAAAGAAGAATGCATTTGTAAAATCTAATCAGAAGAATTTGAACTAAATCCAAAGAAATCTATTTCCTTGAAAAAAGCTTGTACCAGATAGTCAGGCAAAACGTTGAATTTACTTCTACTTCTTTCGCTGAGATTATACAAAAACATTCTTTCTTTTTAATAATTCATTAAGATTGATTCAATGAGTTCTTCCTGTTTATTATAATTATTAAATTCAAAGAATAAAATAGTGACGAAATAATCAATACAACTAATCATTTAGTTAAAATAAATTAATTTATCATCTAAAAGGTCCTGTGATCGAATCTCTCGAGGTGCGAGATCGTGGATGCGCGCTGTTGAGGAGTCCCATACTGGGATGAAACGGCCGTCCAGTGCTTCCAGATTTTCCATGGTGGTCTAGCTTCCATTGACTCATGATTTCAATCTGTGAAATTTCTAAAATCTCCACAAAACCCATTCTGATAATAATCATTTGCTCACTAGTGACTGAATTTAGGAGATACTCCCGGAGTTCTAGTGAGAAGTCGTTACCAGTGGAGTTCAACTAGGTCTGTTGTAATCTATATTTATCTATTAAAACTTTGATAAATAATTAGATAATTATTTACATCATAATAAACTACTATATAGATTTATAAAAATAAATCCCTTCATTTATTCACTATAATTAAAATGAAATAAGTCTAGTTCATATTCATGTAACTCTAACACAGAAACATTTATTTATTTTGCTGTTGTTGTTTTGTTGTTTTGTTTATAGTTAAGTCCGTAATAATATTTTTTTATAGGCTTCAATTATTATATTTATCATTAATGAAATAATGTTGTATACATTATTAACACCTTTATTAGTAACTTATTACGATAATTGACTAGGTAATTAATTAATTAATAATAATTTGATTTTAAGAAAATATAAACAATTTTAAATCAACTTAAAGTAAAAACATTTTGGTTTTTAGTTTAAATTTGAATTTATTAAAAAAGACAATAAAATTGTGAACGTTGCCATGGTTACTAAAATAAATCATTCTTTCGATTTCGAATAGTGATTATTATAAAGATATTTTCTAGCTATTTATTATTTTGTTTGTTACATTGAATCATTGATTGGATAATGACTGAAGCTTACTTCACATTTAAAAGTACTAAATTGCTCTAATTTTCAGAACGTGGATTTTTATAGTTTATTTAGTTTGAGTTAAATGGTGTTAATCTTGAAGCGTTTAATGTCGTTCTAGACAATGTCATCAGAAAGTAGTTATTAGAATTTCAATATAATTAACTAACAGCTTTTCCTGTTAAAATGGGATTTGGTAGATTATTGTCTATGACTAATCTTCTGTCCACATATGTCTTCGTAAAACTAATCAAAACAAATTAACAATAAGTGTTGTTGCTACTATCAATGTTTTCAAAATTCAAAGAAACTGACAACTCCACATCGGAAACTAATGAGATATGTAACAAAGCCATATACTGCATTAGTCATATGTGATGATTGCCATAGCAGAATATGAAAAAATATCAAATATTCGTGAATTTTCAGTTGCTAAGCCACAGAGATAACAAATATTTGACAAGATTGGTTAACTATTTAATGGTAGTCTTAATCTTATTAACTTCATGGCTTCAGTTAGACAATAAATATAGAAATTTATATATTCATGATATGAATAAAATACTTTTATGCATTTGGTAGGAATTTAAATTTGTTGAATGAAATTGGTAAGTGTACTCATAATCTCTATAAAATGTAGCTTAGAACTGATACATTTACAATATTTATTTTGCAATTTTCATCCAGTATACTTATACCCTTAGACTTCGCAGATGATCTGGCACTCCTATCGCACACGCAACAACAAATGTAGGATAAAACGACCAGTGTAGCAGCAGCCTCAGCAGCAGTAAGTCTCAATATACACAAAGAGAAAAGCAAGATCCTCCGATACAACACAGCATGCACCAACCCAATCACAATTGACGGAGAAGATTTGGAAGATGTAAAAACCTTTACATATTTGGGCAGCATCATAGATGAACAAGGTGGATCTGATGCACATGTGAAAGCGCGGATCGGTAAAGGAGGAACAGCATATTTACAACTGAAGAACATCTGAAACTCAAAACAACTGTAAAAACCAACACCAACGTCAGGATTTTCAATACAAATGTCAAGACCGTTCTATTGTATGGGGCAGGTATCTACCTCAGTACAATGGAAGTTGGTCGAGCAATTTCGTGGATTGGTTGATGTTATACACT